GGTGCATTCACATCCCATAATAACATCTGACTAATGCAGTATAGAGAAGGGAGACTGTCAATACATCAGCCTTAAGAGAACTGCAATTAAACCTGATGAAGAAACAGTCCCAACCAACAGTGAATGACCATGAGAAGAGCCGCAGAGCACGTCAACACACTTCCACAAGGGATAAAAACCCTATTCACAGGCCTTGCTTTCATAAAGACAAGCTTTAGCACAGTGTTTTCACTGATGAACATTACATTAATACAGGTCATCAATAATATTAGCTTCACCATCACTGAAAAAAAATTATTCAAAGATGATTCCTTGGATTTACTCAATTTTTTTTTAGGGTAAGTGGTTGTAAACAACTTATTTGGGCTGAATTTAAACAAACAAATTAGGTTGAACATTATTAAACTTAATTTGTTTGTTTAAATTCAACAAATAAATTGTTTGCAACAGTTCTGCATGCAACACTTTTTTCAGTGATCTCTGCATGCTTGTTTTACTACAGTATATTGTTTAGCATGCCTTGCAACAACTGTGCAATATATCATACAATTTGCTACTAAATGTCATTTTCATCATGCAACTACTGCCATAAAATGTCAGAAAGCAGTGAGCTGTACTTCTAGGTTGAGTGATGCATAAATGACAAATATACACAGTACAAAATGATTACAAACGCAACATTGAATTTTGCATGCGATTAGTAATATATTAGTGCTGTTAAATGACTGATGACTAATCGCATACAAAAAACGTTTGTATTTTTGTAATCCTTCTGTACTGGTTTTATTATGCGTACAAACACACAACACACATCAGTGTATACACAACGGAAATGTTCATATTTATATATAACAAATTTATACATATTTATATGTGTAATATTTGAAAGTACACACACGTGTGTGCATTTAAATACATGCATAATAATTATTCACAGATACATATATTATGTAAATACAAAGTTATTTTCACCACGATTAATGCTGGATGGATAGATGGACAGATAGACAGACAGATACAGACAGACAGACAGACGATAGATAGATAGATAGATAGATAGATAGATAGATAGATAGATAGATAGATAGATAGATAGATAGATAGATAGATAGATAGATAGATAGATAGATAGATAGATAGATAGATAGATAGATAGATAGATAGATAGATAGATAGATAGATAGATAGATAGATAGATAGATAGATAGATAGATAGATAGATAGACAAATAAAAATGTGGATGGATGGATGGATGGATGGATGGATGGATGGATGGATGGATGGATGGATGGATGGATGGATGGATGGATGGATGGATGGATGGATGGATGGATGGATGGATGGATGGATGGATGGATGGATAGATAGATAGATAGATAGATAGATAGATAGATAGATAGATAGATAGATAGATAGATAGATAGATAGATAGATAGATAGATAGATATGCAGTTACTTACTGTACAAGTAATTGTATGTTACAACACTTGAAATAGCTACCTGCCTGCCTGAGCGGCCTGCCAGAGAGGGAAAGCATGCTTA